CCCCCCCCCCCGCTGTCACACACTGCGACCCCCCTGCCACGCGCTGCCTCACACCCCCCGCACACCCACAGCCCCCCGTGGCAGCCCAGGGGCACAGAGGACTGTCCCCCTCCACGGGGGGCACATCCCCAGGTGTGGGGTGACCCACCTCCGGCCCCCCCCAGCCCAGCTCTCTGCTCCCACCGCACCGTGGGAAAGGGCTGGGGGTGGGTGCGGGACCCCCCACCCTGGCACCCCTGGGGCTGGGTTGCCCCGCGGGCAGGGCGGGCAGGTCGGGCTGGCTGCCAGCTCCCCCCTGCCGTCTGCCAGGCCGGAACGGGCCCCGGCGTGCCAGGGCAGGTGCTGGGGAAGGTGTCAGGGCAGGACAGGATGGGCGCCTGCCCGAGGCTGAGCCTCGTGCTCCCCACCTGCGGGGTGCTGAGCACCCATCCTGCCCGTGCCCCCTGGCTCACCTCGCACCCTCTGGGCACAGCAAGGGGAGGCAGCAACAGGGGGACAGACCCTGTGCCTCCCCCAGTCCTCCCTTTCGGGTCCATCCTCTGCAATCCCGTGGCCCTGCAGCAGCCCCGGGATGGGACGGTGGCAGTGGCCCGGGGGGAAGCAGAGTGTGACCCCATGGCCTTTGCTGGGCCCTGCTCCCTGGGGGATTCGGGGAGGGATGAAGGGATGGGGGTCCCGGCAGCTCCCGCTTTGTTCCCGCTTCGCCTCCACCCGGCAGTTGCCTGGCAACTCCATCCATGCGGCTGCCGGAGAGCGGCAAAACAAGTCCCCACTCCCCTCCGGGGCTGCTCGAGGCCCTGTCGGGATGGGATGGCAGAGCACGGCACATTAAGACACTGCATGTCCCTCCTATGTCCCTCAGATGTCCCCAGACCCCACCCAACACCCTCAAACCATCCCACCCTGCTGAGCTCCTCCGTTCCCTCTACCCAGGGTGTCCAGACAAGGGCTCCCAGCCCCGAGTGCAAGTGGTGCTTCTGCCTGGGCTGTAGCCACGTGGAGAGGGGCTTCTCCTGACAGCAGGAGGGGAAATTGAGGCTCAGAGAGACCCTGCTCGCTGCTGGCAGTGGGGCTGCACTGGGCCACACGGGCAGGAGGGACTCAGAGCACCGTGCCATGCCAAGGGCGATGCTCCTCCTGGGAAAGGTGCCCCAGATCTGGCCTGTCCCAGCCCCTCTCCCTGGCTCGGCAGGGACGGGGGCACTGCTGGCACAGAGAGAACTATTGGCTTAATTAATTTGCTGTTATTTCTCCTAACGAGCTGGGATCTGGAGCGGGCGCTTCCCTCAGTTGGTTGGCAGCCGCCGCGTTCCCCCGCCCGGAGCCGGGGGTGCGAAGCCTCCAGGCACTGCTCAAAACAGACCGTGTGTAGGAGGGAAAAATTACACCCCGGGAAAAATCCCTCCCCGAGCCAGCGCCTTAACCCACTTCCTGGCTGCAGCACTGGCAGAGGGGAGCTGCATGTTTGGGGAAGGTGAGACCCCCCCCTACAAAGGGAGAGCCGGGCCCTTGACCCCTGAGACCTCTGCCAGGAAGGGGAACTGAGGCAGGGGGACTGGGGAGGGATAAGGCAGCATGGCAGCAGGGGCAGGAGGGTGATGACTCTGCTCTGGGGCTCTGGGACCCCCACTCCACTGTCAGATGGCCTCTGGGACCCCCACCCCACTGCCAGCAGCCAGGGTAGGAGCTGAGCACCCTGACCCTGCTGCTGACAGTGAGGGCAGGAGCTGGAGAGAGCTGCAGAGAAGAGAGGAAAAGGGGGTGGGATGCAATGGGAGGAGTTCGGGTCCCCCCCGCCCTCAAAGCCACCCCCTGGCCTGCCAGCATCGTTCCCCCTGCCCATCCCATTGCAGGAGGGCAGAGCCCACCACAGCGCTCCCTCCATAGGATCAGGGTGGGCACAGGAGTGGGATACACGCCCCCCACTCCCTGTTTGGTGTGGGCAGGTGGGTGAGGGGCCGGCGGAGGCGGAGGCAGCTGAGGCGGGGACAGCACAGCACAGAAACGCGCGGGCGGCAGCTCCCGCACCACCAACACTCCAGTTGGTCCTTCCCCGACAGCCAGCGAGGCTGGGGGAGAGGAGGGGGCTCACTGCAGCCCCCAGCCCCGGGAGAGGAGGGGGCTCTGAGACAGGTGGCAGCTGCTCCCAGGGACGTGGGGGCGGCTGGTGCCAGGAACAGCGGAGCCGCAATTCCAGTCCCATCAGGAGCTCCTGGGAAGGGTAGAGCGGCTCCCGGGAAGAGGAGTGTGGCTCCCAGGGAGAGAGCAGCTCCTGGGAAGGAGGGAGCAGGTCCTGGGATGCCGCAGAGGGGACAACAGTCCAGCCAGGGAAGCTCAGATGGACTCTGTCCTTGCAGGTCTCAGCCCCAGGAGGGAGACGTGAGACAGGCCTGCTTCCTACAATGCTGACAGGGATGTGCATCCCATGGGATGGGAATCCAAATAACACAAAAGCCCAGCACAGTGTAAGGTCCAGGATTTCGCTTGTGTGACCATATGTCAATGACACATGTCAGCCTTAAGGCAGAGACACGGTGACACACAAAACATGAGGGGGTTCTGCTCTGGGGATGTGGCTTCAGTGGCTGAAACGAGACACGGAAAGGTCACGGAATCACAAACACCAAACAAAGAAGGAATTTTTGCTGGAGAGCAGGGCATGGATGAGGGATCCACCTGGAGAGCTGGCAGGTGGGTGCCAGGCCCCTGTCCTGGCCACAGATGGGGACGGGGCATCCGAGACGCCGCTCGCTCGGTGACGTCCCCCTCGCCCAGAGCCTGCGCCGGCAGCTGGCGCGTCCCCACGGCGTCCCGGCACGTGCCTGGGAGAGCAGCAGGAATCGGCAGGAATGGGCAGGAAGGGGCAGCTGGCCCTGCCAAGTTTCCTAATGCAATTTGCAAACGGCTGCGAGGACGCGGCCAAGCCGGAGCTGGAGCCGTGGGGCCGGCGGGACGCGGGAGGCACAGGGGGACGGGGCCGTGGCACAGGTGAGCCAGCCGGGATCGGCTTGGCACAGTCACCCCATGGGATCGGGAATCTGAACGGGGACACAAGGCTGCCATGGGGGAGGGAACCGAGGCGGGGACAGGCGCGGGGCTGCGGCGCTTCCTCGTGGGGCCAGAGCCCAGCCCGGAGCGTCGGGGCAGGTTCCAACACCCTCCACAGCCCCAGCAGCAACTCCCAAGTGCTGGGAGCAAACCTGGCCCTGCCGAGCTGGTTTGGGTGCTGGCTGGGCTGCTCGGGCAGCGTCGGGGTGCTGGGCACCCACAAACCTCCCCGTCACTGCCGAGAGGGCAGGTGGCAGCAGGGATGGGGGTCACCCTGTGGAATCCCATCTGAGAGCTCACTCTCACGGACCAGCACCAGTTACCAATGGCTTGTTGGGAAAAGAATTAGGAGCAGCTCCTAAATTAAGTGGTTCCTGCTCAGGCAGTGCGTTCCCAACAGCCTCCCATGACTCTCCCGCCCTTCCGCTGCTCCCAGAGTGGCAGAAATCAATTTGGTAATTGAAAAGAGAATTGAAATGAAGAACGAACTGGGGGGGGGGGGGGTCAGGGGATGTCACTGCTGCTTACCCAGACAAATAAATACGAAATACCCAAAAGAAACAAATCAGCTTTAATGAAGGAGCTGCTTCATTCCTTAAATAAAAACAGACCACGATCAAGCCAGCGGAGTTTGACATCCGGGGAGGGAGCGGGGAACGTTTAGTAAAGGGGAGAAGTTGGGAGAACGTGTGGCCAAGGACCGACTCGGGGGCTGGTTCTTCGGCGGCCCCAGCGCGGGGGAGGAGGGGGGTGGGCAGCAGTGGGATGGATTTCGGGAAGGCACCGCTCAGACCACGGGGGAAGTGCCTGGCCCTGAGCAGGTGCAGGTGTCTCATCCCGCTGCCTCACCTCCGCGCAGGGAAGGAGCCATTCCAAGGAGCAGCTTCCTCCTCGCCGAGGTGCCGAGTCTGGTGCTGAGATTCCCGTGGCCACATCCCTACGTGTTGCTCCTCTCCTTTGATTTTTCACCTTTGCTGTCCTGGGAGGGGGAAGAGCAGCAGAGGTTCAGGACCACTCCAAACCCTGGCATGGGAGGCTCAGTGCTATGGATGGGTCCTGCCAGCAAACCTCCCACATCTGGGTGCCAACCTCCCCCCCCCCCAACCTCCCCCTCTGGGCACAACCAGCTCTCCGTGCCAACCTCTCCTTGTGGTTCCAGATTTTTCCATCACAAGGGCTTTCTCAGGGCCCCTCCATCAGACAATCTGCTTCCCAGCCCTCCCTGTGTATGGGAACCCACCGGCACATGCCTGCCCGGGTCTGGGCTTGCTCGGCTTCCATATGTGAGGAAGGTATGGAAAGGGAAACCAAAAACACACACGTGGCACTCCAGCACGCTCACACACGCACAGCTCACAGCACTGGAGCAGGGAGACCATTCCCAGTGCAGGGAAGCATTCTCATCCCTGAAAAACCTTTAATTCTCCTGCCTGAATTATCTACTAATAAGGTCTCAACATTTACTCTTCCAGAGAATTCCTGCCTCCTAGCTTAGGGCTGGGTTTTTCCCTCTCTAAATTGTTCTTTTTTTCTACCCTGAGCAAATAATTAAAAAAAAAAAAAAAAGAGTCAACTTCAGACTTACTTTTTACGTGGTTTTAGTTTTAAAGATTTAAGTAACTCAAATTAACTGGAGCCCTGCTTACCACCTGCAAAGAGAAGCTGAGGTTTGGGACAGGTCAAAGACGAAAACAGGTTTAAGATTTCCTCAGAACAAGGTTAGTTTTTCGGGATGGGAGAGGGAACTGCAGCCTCACACACGCCAGTGGTACCACACACACACACACACACACACACACACAGACCCAAGTGAGGGGACGGTACCTCTGGAGGGGGTGGTTTGATGGTCACAGGCTGGGACGTCCGGCGGGGCGGGGAAGGCTTGGGCTGCACCTGCTGCTGGACAGTGTTGTAGTAGGTGACCCCCCCGTACACCTGGGACTGTGCCTGCGGGAGCAGCGGGGTCAGAGCTCCGGGCTGGGGGGGCTGGGAGACCCCACACGGCCCCTGCCAGGCTTGACAGCTGCCCCCAGCCAGCACCAAGGGTGAGCCGGCATGGGGAGGGGGCTAACCTGTGCTGTGCCCCCCAGGGATCAGCTCCTGAGGCCCCTCGTGTACCCCCACCCCTTGCTGGGGTCCCGCTGGTAGGGTGGGCAGAGATGGGACACCGCCCATGGCAGAGGGGATTCCCTCATCCTGCAGTTCCCTAATGCCATGGAATGCCTGTGCTTCCCAACAGCTTTTCCACAGGGACACAGCTCCCCCGGCACACTCAGCCCCGTGGCCCAGGGGTCAGGATCTGCCCCCAGAGTGGGGATCACCCGGAGCAGCAGGAAGGGCAGGGAGTGTCTGGAGCTCAGGGATTGTGCAGCTCTCTGTCCTGCCACGGCGTGTCAGCCCTGCTCCGGGACGGGGATCTGGGCTGGGCTGGGCTCATCTGCCTCCTCACACACATCTAGTCTGCTCTGATCTGCCTTTGCAAGGATATGGTCTGCCCTGCCTCCTGGAGAATCTGATCTGATCTGTCTCCTCACAGGGATCTGATCTGGTCTGACCCTCACAGGGATCCGATCCAATCCGCCTCCTCAGGGATCTGCTCTGATCTGTCTCCTCACGGACACGATCCAATTTGTCTCCTCGCTGCTCGGCAGCAACCTTAGATGTGGAGTTGGGTCACAGAGCAAGAA